CACTACATCACACTGTGTAAGTTGTGTTAATTATAATTTGTAAATGATCATAATCATTTTAAAAATCACAGTGCAGACAGAGGCAATGTTACCTTTTAACATGTCTTTGCAGATTACAAGAAAAGCCTTACCTGGGCTAGAAAAAGAGGGTAACATCAGCTCCAGGCATTTCTCTTGTATTCGTGTTCCAAACTGATGGCACCACCACAAAAAAGTCTGTGAAGCTTTGTGTTTTTTTTCCAAGTTGGTCCTCAGACTCTCCCCAAGCTGAGAAAATAGCTACGTGGAGAAAGATGAGGAAGAGACTACAAATGGCCAGAACATCTTACTCCTGTTGCGTATTGGAAAAGATATCCTACACTCATCAATTTTAGAACAGAAGTTTGGAATGTATAGAAGTATGTTTCATTCTTATTTCCCCCCTCTTTCTGTTATTGTTACAATGGCTTTTTAAAAAATTGCGCAAGATGCAGATAACTCAGGCTGATGTGCAGGATCCTAGCACAATATTTGCAGGCTGGCAATGTGCGGGCGAATCGGCTGCAGTGGTGCATCCATGCTTACTTAGGAGTAACGTTTTCTCCATAAACCCCATAGCTCTGAGTAAGCAAGTGGAGCATCGAGCTTTCCCAGGGACCATCTTTCACTATTCAGCATCTCCAGCACAATAATTCACAACCAAGGACTGAACATGGATTGACTGAAATACGTATGGGCTGTTGTGTTGTCTGAACTCTGCAAGATAAACCATGGTCAACCTAGTCCATAACCCAACAATAAAGCAGGAGTTCTCCTCAGGGTTGTTCATACTTAACAAGCCATGGCTTGTTAATGCAGCTGAACTCAGACAATACAACCCACATTTAACCCATACTCAGTCCCCGAGTTTGGCTTATGGTTTTGCCTGATCTCAGTCTTTGGGTCCTCTAATGCCTGGCTGGCAGCCATGTTGGCTGGGGCTGATCAGAGTTGTAGTCCAAAACATCCAGGAGGTACCACATTGGGGAAGGCAGGCCTGTGGGGACAGGAAATGCTTTCACAGATGTCAAACTTCATCTCAAGACTGGATCAGCCATTAGACAGGCTTAGGTGAGCATTTCAGGTGGCAGCTATTCTTTCTGGGTGTTCTTTGTGGACTCCCCTTTTAGAAGAAAGGGTTGTGTATGCCAAGGATTGCCCCGAGTCCCCTAAGCTACCCTGCAGCCAAAGCTGTGGAGAAAAGCCTTCACCTCAGGCAGCAAAAGGTTTTGAGCCAGCCCTGCCTCATTTCCCAGCTCCCCACCTCCAGCTGTGCATTCATTCCCTTGCTAATGTAGACCAGGTTGCTAGTCCTCATGAGGAAATAAACCTAATACTGGGCTGTGTCCAGATGGCTTCTGTTGGGCAGGCTTCCGACCCTGGGTAGCTGCTTTGGAAGATGCCCATCTGTGAGATTTCCCCTTCAGGGCGATCAGTATATTCAAATTGGTAACTGCTGCGCTGCAGGCCTAGCCCGAGCTTATCATGTCTTCCTGAGAGTCACCCATGATGCTGCCAGCAATTTCTTCCCAGATCTGCTCAGGAACCAGGGCTAGATGCCACCCCCTCAAATCATGTCATCTTAAGAGTAGTCAAGTGCCACCTGTACGAAGCCTTCAAACCCTTTTTGGGATTTTCTAGGCATTTGTGGACTTCCGGAGCTGCAAAATTAAACCCTTTGGAACTAGCAAGGCACTCCAGATCCAAGACCACCGATCCATCTAACATGGGCAGCAAGAGTGCTCTTTCTCTTCAATACTTTAAGGTGTTGGTGATGACCCATAAAGCCCTAAATGGCTTAGGACCCAGATATCTGAAGGAGCATCTCCTTCCTTATGTGCCTGCCCGCCCCTTAAGATCTGGGGCAGAGGTCCCTCTTCAGGAGCCCTCCTTGAAGGAGATTAGGGAAGTGGCTATCCAGAGAAGGGCCTTCTCTGCATTGGCACCCCAACTATGGAATATGCTCCCCAGAGAGGTTCACCAGGCGCTGACACTATTCTTTTCAGTGCCAGGTTAAAACCTTTTTATTTTCCCAGTATGTTAAGGTCTAAATTGCTATTTTAGTTGGGGGTTTACTGTATAGAACTGATGCTGTGCTTTACCTGGTTTTATTGTAAACCCTCCCAAGACTGTCTGGCAAAAGAGTATAGAACAGTTTTAAATAAGTAAGAACCTGAAGGTCACCACCCAGCAAAACAGACAAAAGATGCAGCATGGTCTCATTAAGGACACGCAATACATGGATGTTACTCACTGCCACAGTGATGACAGAGGTTAGATTAATTGGCTTTTGGAGAGGAATTGAGAAGTCTTCTTAAAAGGGCCCTAAAATAATTTTAAGCAAACAAATAAAATCATCCGTTGGAGGTCTGTCAGTGGCTATTCACTAAAATGCCATTTCTTATTTCTTTTAACCTTTATTCCATGCTTTCCTTTATGAAATAAATCCAAAGTGGCTTAGAACGCCCTGCATTAAATAAATATTGGAAAGTAAAGAACCTGGGAATTTCTGTAGGCAAAGCAGGGCCTCCATCAGTGTGGTACAATCTCTCCCCTAAAGGTACAGTCCTTTCCAGCTCGCTGATACAGGCTTGCCTGGAATTTTGAATCTGACCACTCTGTGGCCAAGGGAAGGATTGTGCATGTAGGAAGTTGACCAAGTGTGTGTTCTGATGCATATTTACACACAACACAAACGAGTTCTATATCTCCCTGCATGGGCCAGGCAGCCATTTGGGAGCTGTAGGACTCTTTCCTGTCCGAACATGCATAGGATTATAGAAACATAGGGCGAGTCAGAAGGGGACTCCCGGGCCATCTAGCCTGACCCCCGGTTCCAGCCGGCTCTGCTTACGACATGCCCACCATGGGCATGTCTAGCCTATCTCTGAACACCCTCAATGTTGGGGTCTCAACCACCTCCCGAGGAAGCCCATTCCATACCCATCCCTATGGGTATTATGTCCCGATTCAGAGTTATGGAGCTTGGAGAAATCTTCCATGGAGTCAGGTGAGTTCAAACAATCCAGCTCACCTCTTCAGCAGTGGACCAGCTTTTCCTGAATTGGACTTGCAAACCATTTTTTCAAATTCTCCCCAATTAAATGTAGATTTCATTATAGGAATATATGCAAACTTGAAAAAACATACCAGCCAAAAATATGCATTTCCACCATAAGTTAAAGCAGAAAAATATGCATTTGGGCGTGATTTATGTACGCTGAGGGTATCTGCACATTTTCAGGAATTTGCAAATATGCTCACAAATGGATTGGACAAAAAATGGTTTCTCCGATGACACAATGATAAAATGAAAACCACTTGATATCTATAAAACGAAGATGGATGCCCACACATTTCTTTTTATTCCATTGCATTTCATCCTTTTCCAAGGAATTTGAGGTGACTTGCAAGGTTTCTCACTCTTTTATCCTTATGATGGCTCTTGCGAGGGAACGCCCGGCCCAAAGGTACCCAGGGGGTCTCTTGGCTGAATGGGGATTAGAACCTGGATCCTGGAGTCCCAGCCCAGCCCTCTTAAGCACCACACCACACTGGGTCCCTAAATTTCTAGGCAGAAAAGAATCTTTCCGATCACTTGCTATCTGCTCCTTTCGAACTAGAGATGATGGTATTTAAATTGGGATCTTCTGCGTGCATTTTATCATGATGTTTTATGGTGCTATTTGCTTGATAGGTTTGTTTTCAGTTTGATGTATTCTTATGCCACCTTGAGATTTTTACTACTATTGCTATTGAATAGCATCTAGAATACATCCAACAAAAAAAATCTATGATCATGTTAGTTTTATGGCTAAGACAAATTTTACTTGAAGGCAATGCAAATTCAGTAAAACGGAGCAACTTCTGGAAGAGCTGGTGCAACACAGGGGTGAGGGGAAGAGAATAAATTCCTAGTTTAAAATTCTCTACATCTATACAGATCATTTTTATGACTACAATACGCAGAATGTAACACTACCCACCATTTAGACCCGGTCCTGGCTGCCTGAGTTCCAGCAAGGAATGTGTATGTGCTACATCCTAAAAGAACACTACCTACAGGCGATTTTAGCTTGCATTCCTTGCTGGCTGGGACCGATTCCAAGGACTCGCCCTACCTCCGCCCCACTGCAGTGGGGCAGCAATAGAACTTGCTCATAGCTGCCATGTGATTGACCTCTGGGACAGGGCCAAACCTTATGTCAAGGTAAGGTTCACATCCTGAATTCCGAAGGGTAGACTTTCAAAGGCGAAATCCTATGCAAATTTAGCCAGAACAAAAAACCTACAAGTCCCAGCATGCTGATTGGGGAATGCTAGGAATTCCTAGCTGGCTGGGGCATACTGTGAATTGTAGGCCTTTTTTCTGTCTAAACTTGCATTGGTCTATGCCCTAAATTGCTGTATTTCAGACATGCCCAGAGAATTTTGAGAGGCACATAAACCAGTTTTTAAATGTTGTAGGAGTCTGCTAGCCATTTTGGCAGAGAGGTTCCATACCTCGTTTAGAGAGGAAGAGGTTTCCCTTTGCTTAAGTGGCATTTTCAGAAATTCTCAACAGGGAGGGTATTTCCTGGGCACACCCAGCTAGGAGCAAGCTCCATTGAACCTAATAGGAGTTACTTCCCAGAAGATGCACATAGGATTATACTGGGGAGGTGACAAAATTCAGGTTCCCAGGTGCTGCAGAGGCACCTTTGCATTTTGTCCAACAAGTCTCTTTTGGACATACTTTTTCAAAACCTTTCCCTTTCTGTTGAGTGTTTTCATGCCTAAAAACAGATCTGTCACCAAATCTTCCAGCAAAGGATCTCTTGGCTCAGGCACATGTCCCTCGAAATAAGCCCCACTGAATTCCATAAGGCTTATTTCTGTATAGACATGCATAGGATATCACTATTCACATGAGTATCAAAATGTCAAGTTTCCAGCCCATATGATGACAAGTTCACAGTTTTTACAAGTTAGGTTTTTTTAACAGTTTCCTTCCCGGTGGGTGCTCTGGTGTCTAATAAGAAGCGATCTGTCACTGAAAATTTTCCCACAGTCTGAGCATCTGTATGGTTTCTCCCCTGTGTGGATTCTCATGTGAACCCTCAGGTTCGAATTGCCACCGAAACTTTTCCCACAGTCTGTGCAAGTATATGGCTTCTCCCGTGTGTGGGTCCGTTCATGTACCAAGAGGCCTGAGCTCTGGCTGAAGCTCTTCCCACAGTCTCTGCATTTGTATGGCTTTTCCCCTGTGTGGATTCTCTGATGTCTGATGAGGACTGGCCGCTCTCGGAAACTCTTCCCGCAGTCAGTGCACTTGTACGGCCTCTCCCCCGTGTGGGTCCTCTTGTGTACAATTAAGTTGGAGTTGTCACAGAAGCTCTTCCCACAGTCTGAGCACTGGTAGGGCTTCTCACCTGTGTGGATCCGCTCATGGGTGATTAGGTAAGCTCTGGTGCTGAAGCCCTTTCCGCAGACTGAGCACTTATACGGTTTCTCTCCGGTGTGGGTTCTCTCATGAGCTTGAAGGTTGCACTTCAGCTGGAAGTCTTTCCCACAGTGGACACATGACTTCTCTTTCTCATTTCCTGGCTTTTGAGCATCACCCAGAGGACTAGCAAGTTGGACAATGCTTCCAGAAAGTTCCACATACCTGCCCTGGGAGTTGATGAATTTTTCCCCTTCCTTTTCGGGGCGCACTTTCTCCTGGTTTGCGGAGACTTCTCCTTGCCTGGGCCAGGTGGAAACATTCTCCTCAGCTCTTCCTGACAACACCCAACATGGTTCCTGTTTCTTGGAGTTCTCCAGGTTGCTCTGCTCCTTCCTGTCACCTGCTGGAATAAGGGGAGAGTCCTGCCATGAGAATCCAGGGTCATAAATAGCCACACCATCTTTGTGAGCTCACTACCTCCTGCGCACATTCACCGTCTTTAATTCACTACCTTGTACCCTCCAGATGATTTAGGCCACACTTCCCATCATTCCTGACCATTGGCCCTGCTGGCTGAGGCTAATGGGAGTTGTAGTACACATCTTATTGAACCTCCATGTTTAGAGAAAAAGCCAGTGCCCGTAGTGGGGAGAGGAGGAACAAAACCAGAAAGAAAAGGAAGGGGCTGTTGTCTTTGTCATTCACGCCATTCAAGTGGAAACAGCTCAGTTTACAAGCATCTTCTAAATACAAAGATGCTTTCTAAATATTAAACAAATTAATGTACCAACTATCTGTTCCCTACTGAAAACAGGATTTTGGGCAGGTGTTCTGTCAGGGCTCCTTCTAAATTTGCATAGCTGTGATCTAAAAATAACATTTTTAAGAATACCTAATTTATAATATTCTGGATGAAGCCTGAGCGGTGCTGAACAGAGTGGAGCTATTCTTTCAATCTGCATATAATGCTTACTATGTTAATGCAGCCCCTAAAATTGCATTTGCCGTTTTAGCAGCTGCCCCACACAGCTGGCTCAGAGTTAGTTTGTGATCATTCAAGGCCGCTAAAGGGGATGTTTTAGATTACACAAGAAGGCATGTATCTTACCCAGCACTTTTGCATCTCCACCAGTCTCTTCTTTGATCTCCAGGAAGTGTGGCCTCTGCCAGGCACCCAAAGGAGCCCGCTGTGCTTCAAGGAAATTAGCAGCTCCTTCCTTAAATACCCCTGGCACCTAAATCCGAAAAGATAAAATGATGGTTATAATTTGTATTATTTAGGTAGCCTGGTCAATGTGTGCTTGATACAAAAGCACAAGTCTCTGCCCCAAGGCACTTACAGCCTTTAAATAAATTGACACAACTGAAACTACACCACCACAACAAAGGGAGGAAAATGCACAAGTATGTTTGTTCTACCTGCACAGAGCTTTCAGTGCAGTCAAGAAGACTTGGACTGTGCTTTTAAATGCCGAGAGAGACTGAAAGCTCCCCATGGCATCTCTAGGATAAAATCACAATACGCTTTGCATGGCGTAATTAGAGAGGAAACCCAGTTCATCTTTAGAGCAAGAAAGGGTCAGCAAAGAGGTGCAGTTGCCTACACCAAAGGCAGTTCCACACACAAGGATCTAAGAAAAGCCCTGCTGGATCAGATTCAGGGTCTGTCTAGTCCAGCGCTCCGTACACACGGTGGCAAACCAGCTGCCCACAGGATCCCCCAAGCAGGATGGGGGTTGGCCCTCCTCCTGCCCCAGATGCTCAGCAACGGGTGTGTGCAGGCAGGCTGCCTCTGGCGAAGGAGGGACCAGATGGCCAGCAAGGCTTGTAGCCATGGATAACCCCCTCCCTCAAGTGCCATGTCTCCAAAGGGAGCAGACGCTCCCATTCAAAGAGGCAGGGAGAGATTTGCAATGTCCAAAGAGGACTCTTAATCCCACCGGTTGGAAATCATGTGTGTAAGAGACACGGGGTACATGTAATGCCAGCCGCCCAGCCCTTCTTCCCTGCATGCATCATGTTCGAGTCAAGCAGAACTGGATCCAGGTTGAGGGGAGCCATCCGCAAAGGTGAGCTTTATACAAGGGCTTATAGGACAGCAGGAAGTTGTGGGCCTACTCTTAAAATTTCCCATAATGCTCCAGAGCGATACTTAATTGGGAGCATTGTGGGGGATTCAACTGGCAGCTCTCAGAACTTTTGCCCTGTTGCCATATATATTTAAACTAAAGGGGCCGGTCTCAGCCGTGGGCAGAACCCCTTCCGACTGCTGGTCGGGGCTACCTGAACATTTTAAGGTTGCCACAACATTCCCTTTAAGCAGAAAAAGAGCAGGCTGGGCTACAAACCATCTCCCCAATTCACAGGTCCCATTGCAGGGTTTTCCCCATCTTTATTTATTAAATTTGTGTAAAAGCTGCCTATTAGCATAATGCTCTCTGGGCAGCCATTACAAGAAAATATTGATCAGAACGTTAGTAAGATAATGCAATTAAAATCTTGTAATAGACAGACAAAATAAAGCACAATATATATATCAAGACAATGTTAAAAATAAATTAAATGAAAACTAAAACCAGTGCTGTCATATAAATATTTTAAGCAGTGCTATAGGTGCCTCGAAAAAGGAATGTTTTCATCAGGTGCCTAAAATGCAATAAAGTTGCCATCTGACAAATCTCTGGTGGCAAAGCATGCCAAAATTGGGGTGCCATGACAGAAAAGGCCCTCCCTATCTATCTATCTATCTATCTATCTATCTATCTATCTATCTATCTATCTATGGGACTTCTATGCCGCCCCATTTGCCAAAGCCTCGGGGTGGCTCACAAACCATAAATAAATAGAATTCAATAAAATAATATAAATTAACAATATAAATTAAGTCACCCTGGCCAAAGAATAAGATGAATAAATAATATTAACAATTAAAATAACATTTGAATAAAAAGGTTTTCGCCTGGCGCCGAAAAACAAATGATGGCGGTGCCAGGCGGACCTCTCTGGGGAGCGCATTCCATAGATTAGGCACCACCGCAGAGAAAGCCCTCCTCCGAGTACCTACCCTCCTAATTTCTTTCACGGAGGGTTCCCGGAGAAGGGCCTCTCCCGCTGATCTCAAGGGGTGGGCGGGCATATATGGACGTAAGTGCTCCTTCAGGTAGCCAGGACCCAAGCCATTTAGGGCTTTATAGGTCATCACCAACACCTTGAATTGGGCCCGGACTTCAATGGGAAGCCAGTGAAGCTGACAGAGGACTGGAGTCACGTGAACATAACGCCCAGTCCCCGTCAGCAGCCTGGCAGCTCCATTTTGAACCAACTGAAGTATCCAGACCGTCTTCAAGGGCAGCCCCACGTAGAGCGCGTTACAGAAGTCAAGTCGGGAAGTCGCCAACGCGTGTGTCACCGTCGCCAGGCAGTCGTTCTCCAGGTAGGGGCGCAGCCGATGGACACTAAGAGGACATATTAGAAGTGGCATCCCCACCTGCAGTGGCATAGCCTTGTCATACATCCTTAGGACTCTACCACACCTGCTGCAGAGGCAGAACCGGCAAAACTCTGAAACCCCCAAGATCAGCCGGTGGAGGGCCTCTTACCTGCTCACCCCGGTTCTCCTCAGGCTGCTGCCTCAGGAGGAAGCCTTCAGCCAGGACCACCGCCTGGGCGCAGGTCTCCGGGCTGCCTTCGCTCACCCAGCTCTGCATCTCTGGGGGCAGGACAGCCAGGAACTGCTCCAGGATCAGCAGCTCCAGGATCTGCTCCTTGCTGTGCCGCTCCGGCTTCAGCCACTGGTGGCAAAGCTCCCAGAGACGGCTGCAAGCATCTCGGGGCCCCTCAGCCTCACGGTACAGGAACTGCCGGAAACGTTGGCGAGGCATGTCAGCACTGGCACCCTCCTTCTTCCCCTCCAGGATCTCTTCCTTCACTTTCCCACACTCCTCTTTGTCTTCAGCCAATGGGTCATTTGCCATTGGGCAGGAATCCCGGACGGAGCCTGGCACAAGCTGGGCCTCCCTCCTCAGGTGTGGCCGGGGGTCCACCGAGCCCTCAGAAGGGGCCCCGTCCCTTAATGCCAAGGTGCTTTGATGCGGGTCCCTCCCTTGCGAGTGGGAAGACTCCATCAGTTTCAGGAAGTCCTGCAGCTGGGCTTCCCACGGCTGCAGCAGCCCCCTCGGTGGCTCCAATTTAACAGGCCCTGACACTTTTCTTTCCCAGAATCCCCCAATGTCCCTGGCCTGTGTGCTGTGCAGACCTTTTTCTGTCCCCAGTTCCAGGGCTGTTAAGTCTGGCTGTTCAATTTTCACCCCCTGTTGAATTCCCGCCTCCCCCGGTAGACCCAGTGGGAAGGCATCCCTTTGCTCATCCGCCATTTTCTTTTTCTGGAAAAGATTGTCCCCGTCCTCTGGCGTTTTTTGTTTGGCCTCACATGCAGGGTGTTTGGAGTAAATGTTTAATAGTTCTTCTGATCCGTAAAGAGAGGTGCTTGTTCTCCCTGAGACAAAACAAAAAGAGAGGGCAAGGGCAAAAAATAAACATCAGAGTGTCATTAAGGTAGCATTCTTACACCTAAGAAAGTTTTATTTATTTATTTATTTAGAAAATTTGTAGGCCGTCCATCACTGTTGTCTCTGGATGTCTTACAACATTATTTCAAATCCTAAATAAAATAAACTAACTATTCCACAACTGAGCAGAAAACTAACCTATTTAAAATAAATAAATATAATACAATTAAAACTACTTTATGTTAAAATATTGGTCAAATGAAAAGGTCTTAACCTGGCGCCAAAAAGCATATAATGGTGGCACCAGGTGGACCTCTCTAGGGAGCGCATTCCATAGTCGGGGCGCCACCGCAGAGAAAGCTCTGTCTCCTGACCTCTTTCAAAGAGAGTTCCCGGAGGAGGGCCTCTACTGCCGATCTCAGGGGGCAGGAGGGCATATAGGGGAAAAGGTGTTCCTTTAGGTATCCTGGTTCCAAGCCATTTAGGGCTTTATAGGTAATAACCAGCACCTTGAATTGAGCCTGGACTTCGAAATCTAAAATGTTTTAGATGTTAAACTGCTTTATATTTGTGTATATTGGCATTTTTAGCTGTTT